CAGGCCTGTTTATGAACATCAATCAGCAGCAGATTGGTATCCGCTCCTCATGTGCCTCATGCTCCCTGAATCACTTGCTGTGAGCCCTGTGCCTTCCAGGAACCCCCCCCCCCACACACACACACACACACCCACACATCATTTGGCTCCCTCTCATAAGCGAGTGGGAACCTCCACATGGTCCTGAGGGCTTAAGCCACGCACTGGTACAGTTTGGAAGAATCACAGTGGCCGCCTGGGTCTCGTGCCAGCTGACACCAACTGCCACACTGCCGCACTGCCACCCCACTGCCACCCCACCTACCCTTTCATTCACTGCCCACGGTGCCTTTACTGCAACCTCAGCTCCTATTCATCCATCGCAACTGAAAAGGCACAAAAACACCAGAGAAAAAATGGAAAGAACATTTATCTGAGGTAAACAGTGAGGCTGAAACTGGATCCCAGAGCTACAGAGACCATAGAGAAGGTCTCCTGTCTTCAAGCCAGGCCAGTGATATTCCCTCATTGACCCCGCGCTATTAACCTCTCAGCGAAAGTGTGCCTGCGAATGATTGATAAACTGGCACTACCGCCTGCTGACAGGAAAATCCACCTCCAAGATCCAGAATTGCTTATATAAATCTAGCGAGGTGAGACGTCGTAGTAAAAGACCCTGTGAAAAGCGGATCGGGTCTATCCTCTAATCGCAGGCTGTCGAGGCTGCTCAGTTTGTCAGACTAGGGTAGATTTTAATCATTCCCTGACGGCACAGGTGCCTGGGTTTATGTAAGCCCCTCCTCCACATACAGAAATCAATCATACACGCGTGATTGGCTTAGCTAGCACAGTTAGCCTATGGCTTCTGCTATTTTTGTTGTTCGGCTAATGGTGAAATATGCTGCTATTTGCCGTATCTGTTCAGGGCAATTTGCATTCCGCAGTCCTGTTTACTGTGCTCTCTGTCCTTGTACCCACAAAATAAAAAAAAAATCCCAGCCCTCAGGGGAAGAACTGACTGCCAGCTAGGTAGAAAAACACAAGGAAATACAATAGTAAAAGTGCACCCATCTGTGGAGCTGTGGCAGAGACACGCATGAAGCCGGTGGGATCTGCTCTGGGAGACACGCCGGCTGAATTATTTAACATGGTTTGGTCCTGTTTATGGTCAGAAAAAAAATATGTCGCCAACGGTAATCAGCTCATTAGGGACGTCCAATGATTCGGCATCTCTAACAGTACAGTTCCACCTTGCAGAATAACCTGGATGTTTTTTTTATTTTCCTTTTTGACTGCCTGTCATTTCAAGCTGCGATAATAGTGGGGAGTAAGGAGCTGGGATGTGGACCCCAAGAATTTTGTACCCTTGAACAAGGTTGTTTGCCTACTGCTGTCACAGATATTTAATTACTCAAACGGTACATAATATAATGTCACATGATGAGTTCATCCATCTTCTAACCATTTATCCTGGTCAGGGTCAAGCCTACTGCAGGAAGCACAGAGCACAAGGGAGGGCGACACCCTGTATGGGTTGGCAATCCATTGCAGGGCACATATACTCACACACGAACAATCATATACATGATGAATCCTGTGTATAGTCTATATCTATAGTAATAAAACATGTAACTGTTTGGGTCTGATCCTTGGTGACTAATCTTTATCTAAAACTGCAACCTTTTCTAATTGGATGGTTACAGGCCTGTTTATTTAAAGAAGCAAACAAACACATGCCCACCCATCAAGAGAGACCACCTCCAGCAAAAAGAAGGAAGAGAGAAACAGACCACCTCCGCCCTGAGGAAGGAAGAGGAAAACAGACCACCTCCACCCTGAGAAAGGAACAGGAAACAGGCCACCTCGAGCCACAAGAAGGAACTGGGAATCAGACCACCTTCAGCCAAAAGAAGGAAGAGGGAAACAGACCACCTCTGCCCTGAGGAAGGGACAGGAAACAGACCACCTCGAGCCAAAAGTAGGAACTGGGAATCAGACCACCTCCAGCCAAAGGAAGGAAGAGGGAAACAGACCACCTCCACCCTAAGAAAGGAACTGGGAAACAGGTACTTTCTACACCAAAGTATTAACAGGGAAAACCTTGATTATCATTCTTTAGTCTATGTAAACCGATCGATTGTTGAGTCAGGTTTTAATTATGATTTAAAAACATGTTGTGGATTGTCTAAAACTGTCTAAAGCAGTGCTTCACAAACGTAGAATAAGCCCTGGCCACCTACCACCATTATAACCGACATTCACATACACTGATAACTTTGAGTGCTGCATGAGCAGCAATTTTTTTAAGTGCATTGGAAATGTACGATAGAAAGCCAAAACACAAATCTTTGTTGCCTTTCTTTGCATGCAGCCTAACCCTAAACCTACTTGTCCGACAAAGACGATGATCGCCAGTTTGTCTCTGTCAGACACTTGTATGATATTGTCATATCGCACAGCCCTACTCCACAGTGAAGCAGATAGTGCGGAAGCAGACCCTCCCCATGCTAAAGAAGGTTATATGTATAAATGACAGCTGTAGGCACGTAATAATGATAGTGACTTGGCGAGAATGAGATTAATTAGGTGGCTGATTTCACTATGATCTAAAATGCATCAATTTGGGAACATGGACGACTGAAGTAAATGTCAGCTACCTGCCTGCTGCTGTCTCGTGTACCAGGTACACTGGGCTGCAGGATGGCTGTACTATTTTTAGGGAATGAGGATCCTGTGGGGTGCAGACACATCTGGTACTAATGGACCCGCACCACTCTGGCTCACACATGTGCCTCTGGTGGAGTCCTTCATCCACTGCTTTCCCATCATCTGGGGCACGATACGGCTGTGCGTTTGTCCACATTTGACCTTGCTCACCACCAATCCCAGTGCAGGAACAGTGCGAGCCAGGAGGGAGGGATCCCACAGCCTGGTAACCCCTGATTGGCTGCTTGCATAGCCCCAAGCTTTACATTCAACCGCTATCTTTACACACCTGACAAAATAGTCCCAGATACAGAGCAGAGTGTCAACGACGTAACCAGCTGTGAAATTCATGAAGAAATAAACAGGGAAACCTTACACTGTTACGCAGAAACAGAAAACAGACACATGCTAACTGGGCATAAACATGCAGAGAATATAGGCAGCAACGGGCACACCTGCATGCCTACACACCTCCGATGGGACAGAGATGCATGCAGGGATGAACAGAAATTCGGCAAAAGACTCTAGGATACACAAAATACACACGCACACACACACACGCACATGTAGGGTAAATATATCCTTATGGGGACCGCTCATTCATTTCAATGGGAAAAAAGCTGACGCTATGACAACCTTAACCCCCACCCTGCCTTAACCATAACCATGAGTAACCTAACAAAATACAAGAGTTTTTGCATTTTTAGTTTTTTCATAGCAGTCACCGATTTTTATAAAATAGAATTTTCCCTTATGGGGACCAGGAAACCGGTCCCCATAAGGGAAAAAAAACGGATATTTATCACGTTATGGGGACATTGTGTCCCCATAAGGATAGGTAAACCCGCTCGCACACACACACACACACCTTTGTGTCCCTCAGTGAAAAGCTCCCTGGAAATGCGAAACTGAGTATCTCACCATGGTAACAAGGTTGTTATTTAGTGCCGCAAACGTACAAGTCGTCTCCCAACACACCGGCTGTCAGCCGCTGCTACACCCTTCCGCTCTGGCCACCCCAGTCCAATCAGACACACAGCGCGGAGCACCTCAACAACGCCTCTCAGAGGCTGCATGCGAACAAACACCCACTTCACCACTTCCAAGACTGCCACTCTAGCACGCTGCCATGAGCTGGCATTCAGGGATGGATAACCTGGCATATGTGATGCCATCTTCTGTGGAACATTCTCCACCTATGATACGGGCCAAATGAACATCTCAGTTTAAAAAAATGTCAGTGACACTTTACTTAAAGCAGGGGTCACCAACTCCGGTCCTGGAGGGCTACTATCCAGTAGGTTTTCTATCCTACCTGGCTTCTGATTATTTACCTGAGAACTAGTGTGGTTCATCAGAAGCCAGGTAGGATAGAAAACTTACTGGATAGTAGCCCTCCAGGAACGGAGTTGGTGACCCCTGACTTAAGGCCATGGTTTAAACAACTTATAAACATATTCATAACAAGTAATAATGCATTCATAGAGCATTAAAAACATGGCTATAGATATTTATACAATGGCATAACACATTATAGCCATTTTTATAATGCATTATGAATGCTTTAAGCTCTCATCTGTAATGAACTATAGATACCTTTATAATGTATTATAATGGTCTTTTAAGAATTAAGGATGCTTTGTACTGCATTGTATAGGTATCTATAGCGCATTATAGATGACAGCTTCCTAAGGCATTCATAATGCATAATAAACATGGCTAAAATGTGTTACGCCTTTTTATAAATATTTATAGCCATGTTTATAATGCTTAATGAACGTGTTTATGAATGACTAAAAACATGGCCTTAAGTAAAGTGTTACCAATATGTCCCGTGAAAAAACCAGCCCACACTGAGCAGGCAGCAGAGGCAGCGATTACTGTAAGAACACAAAGCACAGCCTGGCGAGTGTGGGCTTCAGTCTGCACTTGTCGATCTACAGCTGTGAGGAGCTCAATTACGGCCCTGATGGGCCGGGAGTGAGGAGGCCCATGGGCCCTGGCAGAGACGATCAGAGGCGGATGGGTCTAGCAGCTGCGCTGTGGGAGTGCGGTCTCCACCGAGGCCCTCGCTCCGACTGCACTGCCATACCTCGCACCACATGTCATCAATCAATCAGGCAGACTCAGCCAACACCACTGTTCTTCAGACGCCAAGCTGATATACGACTAGTAGAGTCAGCCCCCCCGGCCCCAGTACGCGGCCCCAGGGTCAATCTGAGCCCCCGTCGCCCTCTCCACCTGCCTGGTGTAGAGCTGTGCATGTGTGTGTGTGTGTGTGTGTGTGTGTGTGTGTTTCTGGGGGCGGAACTCACCTTATAGTGGGTGGGGCCGGATACAAACCCCTCCCCCTTCTTGCCGAAGACAGGGCTATGAGGAGTCATGGAGTCAAACCCTCCCTGCTGGATGCTCTCCAAGTGGGCCTTCTTCTGGCTGTCCTCAGCCAAGCTATTCCAAAACAGGCTGTACGACCTGGGGCCTGAGGAGGAAGTGGAAGTGGGGAGAGAGGGAGTGAGAGAATGAGAGAGAGAGAGAGAGAGAGAGAGAGAGAGAGAGAGATGTGACGGAGATTAAGCTTAATTGCTTTCATAACAGACTGCTACTGAGAGCAAGTATGAAAAACAGAGTAGCAGGAACGCCTATAGGGGGAGACAGAGAGAAGTCGTTGTTAAAGGAAATGAGTTTCATTACTTCTGTCAGTGAGGAAAACACCAGCGGCCCACAGAGCCTGTGACACTCACACACATTAGTACATTAACAGGCCACGCAGTCAGTCAGACCTGGAGTGCATTTCCTGTCCTCAGGGAGAAAACGCACCGCCTTCCAACGGCCTGCGAATGGACTGAGCTTCACCACCAAGTCTTTCTTCGGGGGCTCCGAGACACAGCGTGGCTCATCGTAGGCACCCACAGGGGGCACCATTTCCTTTGCTGAAGTGAAACACTGATATGGGGCAGAGAGTTAGCCAGGAACAGACTACATATCATGGTTACAGAGCTGTGAGTTTTCAAACACGACTAGGAGCAGACGGGTTCATGACATATATACTGTTACATAAACTGAAAAATGACTGGAATCATGAAAGACTTACTAGAACAGAAAAACAGTGCAGGTAATCTTTAACAAAATGCTTCAACTAGTTAAAGCTATGTGAGAAGCTAAAATGTGAAAGCTAAAATCCATCCATCCATTTTCTGTACCCACTTGTCCTATTCAGAGATGTGGCGGTCCATTGCCGGTCCCGTAAGCTACAGGCACAAGGCAGAGAATAACCCAGGACAGGGCACCAACCCGACAGCAGAAAATCAAATAATTTAATGCTAAAATATATGAATGGATATATATATATATATATATATATATGTACACACAGGTTTCTAACTATACCTTTGTGGGGATTCTCCATTAATTTCTATGGGGAAAACTCTAATCCCAACATGACAAGCTTAACCCCTACCCAGCCCTAACCTTAACCATAAGTAACCAAACAAAATATGAGACTTTTGGCATTTTTAGTTTTTTCATAGCATTCACAGATCTTTGTGGGGACCTGAAAAATGGTCCCCATGACATCAAAATAACAGGTTTTTATTACATTATGGGGGGCATTTGGTCCCCACAATGTAACATAAACATAATCCACACACACACATATACACACACACACACACACACACACACACATATACACACACACACACACACACATGTCGGACACACAAACGCGCCCTGCACGCGC